ATGCCCCATCCGTTTTAAAATAAATCCAGTCGTAGGAATATCAATTTTGTATCTTAAATCTGTTTTATTAATCCTGACTAAGCAAGAAATCTTGATAATGTGAGTTAAATTAGACGAAATGTCAAAATTTGTTTGTTTATTTTTCGTACTGGGATTCCACTCACAATAATAGTTTTGACAAACAAACCTTGATGATCAGCTGATGCTTTCTGATTGTGTTATGAGTAATTTCATACAAAAAGTTACTGTGTGTGTTTAAATCACTTTTTCATCAACCAATTTCAAAAAGGTTTATAAAACCAAATATTCATACCCAATTTAAAATTTCATTTTTTTAATTAAACCAACCAATTCAACGTATTTTTCTATAATCGAATTTATTGGTTGAATATCAAATTGATTGGTCTATTATCAGGGTTAACCCGAATAACAATTTGTATGTAAACGTACTTTAATATACCTGCCTTGTTATTAAGTAAATCAATTAAAGTGGGTTAAACAGCATCAGTTATGAAAATCTATTTAACTGTCAATTCCAATGCATAAATCTCAAATCAAATCGACTCTGAAATCTAATGAATATCATATGAAGTATACGTAGTATAATTGACCATAGAAATCCGCTGGATTTGTTTTGTGTGCAAGACGTATTAGGTTAGGTAATAGGACAATTCATGGTAGAAGAATATTGGTAGCTGCTGGGAAAATGAACTGTCAACACGATTTTGGAATTGAAAATATTGAATAAAAACTTATTGGAATTTGTAAAAATTGTTGAAAATGCATATCAGAACACCCTCCGATTTGCGTCGTATGAGAAAACATATACAAATCTATTGATTTTTGAAAAAATAAAAACATTTTACAATTTTTGACATGTTCCCAAGTGTTTATGCATTTACTTATATTTTTCTACCATGGGACAATTGTAATAATTTCCAACTTTGTATTTTCAAATGTCATGTCAAAGTTAACTTGATAGAGAACTGAACTAGTGACATACAGTTTGTCTTAAAAATTCGTTCCGAAATCCTGTTAATGCCGATTTTTGCTCGCAATCGACCTTTATTTCCAAACTTCTCATTCAAGATTAACAGTGTGTACCCAACTTAGTATTGACGTTTTGCTATGTCAATTTGCCATGGTAGAAGAATACAAGTAGTCGCATCGTCACAGCTGCCGGGACAATGAACTGTCAAACCAATTTTGGTTTTAAATTTTTTGAATAAACAATTATTCAAATTTGTAAAAATTGTTAAAAAAAATGCATATTATATCATGCTCCAATTTCTGTCATATAGGAAAACATATATATATCTACTTATTTTGATGAAACATTTTAAAATTTTTGTCATATTAATGTTCCGAAGCGTTAATGCATCTACCTGCATTTTTCTACCATGGAATTACCGTAGCTGATTAACTAGATTAATTGTCAAAACACTTATTGTTTACAGCATAAACAATCAGTAAGACTGATTGGTGTTACGCCTTATTATTCCGCCAAGGAGCTACTAACCATTGAACTCTAAAGATACCCCTTAATAATGGAATGCCACAATTTGTGGCAGTCATGCGCCTACTTTTATTAATGAAAGTATACACGATTTATAAAAACAAAAATCTTCCAAGTAGTTGCTTCGTTCACACCGAAGCATACATGGTACAATAAAAAGGTAGAGCTCCCAGCTGGTTACAATTTTTTTCTAAGTGTGTCCGACTTCTCCCAATTTTTGTATATATTTGTTCTTTTAAAAAATAAAAACAAAATATTTCCAAAATCGATGATTGAATTCGTCAGCTTTGCTATGGAATTGAAAGATCGAACAATTTAGATCATATTTTTGAAAGAAAATCCTGGAATTTTATTCATTTTTCGCACTATTTAACTCATTTTAAAAATGAGGAAAAATAACAAATAAATGAAAACAACTTGTTGCATGTAATTTTGAATAATTCTGACAGGAAGCGGGCATAGTCTCAGGGCTGTATTTCTGTAGTTTTACGAAGCTGTTCTACCTCCTTATTGTGCCATGGAAGCATGTATTATATATCCACCCAGTTATCTTAGCGCATGGTGGAACTGGATCCGCTCAAATGGTCTCCCTATGTTTATGATGAGAAATTTCAGACAATACAGAATAGAGACAACCAAGTACTCAAGTAAAAAAAAAAAACAACAAAAAAACTCCAAAATATTTGTTTATATTCTTATTTTCCAAAAAGAAAATATTATAGTCATATGCAACAATTGGCAACACTGATTCATGACTGATAGCCGTTGGAATTCAAATGAAACTCCTAAAGGTATGCAATGTTTTCTTGAGAAAAATGATGTTAATTTACAAGCAAAACTGTTGAACTGTTTGCAATATTCGTTTTAGCAAAATAGAAACAACTTGTGACTAATTTAATCGTTGGGTTTCAGATCATCAACTCCAGTAATGTCAAATATGTGTTAATGTGTGTGTGTGTGAAAATGTTTAGAGGCCAAAGAGCTTAGAGAAATATCCTATGGTTAAAAAGGGATTTCTTTTTTGTTTAACAACAATTACAAAATTTTGTCCTTTATTAATAATAATAATAATTGTTATTATCATTCTCTTGTTAATTTAACTACGTGATTTTCATTTCTTAATGGTTTCTTCTCTTGAAGGGGCGCAGGAAGTGAGGGATTCGTATGTTTGTATGTATGTATATTAATAGATATAAGTATATACATATACTCTCAATTATAAATTATTTATAATACATTTTGTTTTATTAAATTTAGCATTTTATGAAAATACATATTTTCATCACGTTTTAGATTTTTTTCTTTGCTTCGCCACATTCAATTTACGCTGGTGGTGGTGGTGGAGATTTGAATTTCGTTATGGATTTTTGTTTTTTGGTAGTGGCTGCGACTTTTAAGATTTTCTTTTGGATTACGCCGGCCTCAAGACTTTTGAATGTGAGTTGAATCTTGAAGCAAGGTGACAACTAGTGATGCAGAAATAAACTATGATGATGACGATGAAGAAGAAGAAGAAGGCGCGGCAACAACGACGAAAACGATGATGATGATGATAACCCCGAATAATGGCAATAATGACATCGCTAATGGCGCTAGACTATATAGGTGGCGATGATAATGTTGTTGGTGGTGGTGGTGATGATGTAGCTTAGTTGTGGTTGAGGTGATGATATTTGTCGTTTGTTTTTTTTTTGTCTTTACACAATTTGTTCTATCTCATTTCATTCATTCGTTTTTTCTTTTTCTTCTAAATCAGTTTCTTGGTTGCTTGTTGTTCTTGGTGGTGATGGTGGTAGTTGTTTTGTAACAGTTGTTGTAGTAGTTTTGTTATAGTATTTAGTAATAGTAGTAGTAGTAATAGTTAGTAGTTGTAGTAGTAATTATATAAATCTAAATTAGCAGTTCTATTTCTAGTTGTGGTAGGGGGAATTTCTAATCATCATTCGCTCTATAAGTAAAAAAGAAAAAAACAAATCACATAATAAATAAGCAAATTATTTATGCAGAATTTCTATCATACAAAAAGTTCCACAATATTAGGATGTTGTTAAAATAAAAAATAACTAAAAAAATGAAAATAAGTAAAAGTTTATTGAATTTGAACTTAAATTCAGATGTGTGTTTGCAAAACTTTCCTCTCCTGTTACACGTGTTTGTAATGTCTAAAATAAGAAATATTTCTGGGCAAAGTGTCTAACGTTTTTTTCTCATTTTTATTCTCTTTGCAAGAAAACTGTGAGAAGTTAATAGAAGGAGTCCCTGCAAAAGCATGCAAACAATCAGCTGATTTGTCAAAACAATTTGCCATAAAAAAATATTATTTTAAAAAAGAAGAATTTTCGATTTACCAACATTAAAAAATGAAAATGTTTTCAAATTGCTTCCATAAAAATAAATCTTCGGACGGAAACGTGCCTAACTGATTGCCGTAGAAAGGAGGACAAGTAAAAAAATATTAACTAAAACTAATAAACATTAATGAACTTTTAATACCTTTCACCATTGGGTAAAGAAACCATTTGTATATAAAATTATCTGAATTCAAACGTGTTCCACCTTAAACTACAAATACCTTTTGACCTTTTCAAAAACCCTAAAGTGGATGAGGCCGTTGTATGGGAGCCATGCCAAAACTTTTTACACTTCAAGGATTTTTATCTACCAAATTTTCTTAAATTTGAAACAATTTCGTGGGTAAATGTGGCTACAATTATCAAAATACCGAATTTTGGGTGGGTATCGTTATATGTGCGCAATAGAAAAACGTGGAAATAATATTCAATGTTCTGCCACTGGAGCTGGAACCCATTATGAACTACAAATACCAATTTTTAGACAAATATGTGGGAAAATGTGGCAAAAATCATCAAAATACTGAATATCCGGAGGTACTATTATGTGGGGGCTGCTAAAAACGTGAACCTATACACAATGTTTTGCCACCGGAGCTAGAACTTATTATGAACTACAAATACCAATTTTTAGACAAATACAGAAAAGAAAATGTGGCGGAAATCATCTAAAACTGAATATCGGAAAGAACCGTTACATAGGAGCAATACCAAAACGTGGACCAATATATACTATGTTTCGCCACCGGCGCTAGAAGCTATTATGACCTGCAAATACTAATTTTTTAAACAACTCCGTGAAAAAATGTGGCGAAATTATCAAAATACCGGCTATACCAAAACGTGGACCGATATATCCGATTTTCAATACCAACCATCCTAGACATAATACACATTGTTGTTCCAAATTTTGAAACAGTCGAGAATTCCAATTGTAATTCTAATTATTCCAATTATAATTCGAATTATTTCACTTGTAAATCGAATAATTCAAATTTTTATTTTAAAAACGATTGCGTTTTTGTTTCATTCTAATTTTATTTGTACGCATAAACCGACCTAGGGTACCCTTTTTTAAATTAAAACTAGCTGTGTTCCATGGTAGAAGAATTCAGGTAGGTAGTAGCATCGGCACAGTTGCTGGGACAATGAACGGCTGTCAAAACTATTTTGGAATTTAACATTTTGAAAGAAAAATTATATTAATAAATTTTGACATATCAGTGTTCCCAAACGTTCATTTGGTCTGTTCCAGAACGTAAAAGAATGTAAAACTTTTTGCTTTGTTAACCGAATTTCCTTTTATAAAATCAAAAAAAAAAAAAGCAAAAATAGTAGATTCTTGCAGCTTATATCCTGCACCCTCTGAAGGAGGGTAATTTTTTTTTGTTTTTTTGCAGTAATGTCTCGAAATATCGACGGAGACTCCATAAGCTATATATAATCCTGATCACAATCAAATTCAAAGTCACACCAGTTTTTTTAGGATATTTATTTAATGACTATATCCAAAGACATAAAATGGTAAGGACTGGAAAAGGTGCAGAATGGAAAAAAGTTAATGTGAAAAATATATATAAATATCCATGTTCGCAAAAAACATAATTGCAGAGCAGTTTTACGAATAACACGTTCTTTAAAGCAAAAATTTGGTTTCAAAATTGCATTGCATTGACGTTTTTAAACAATTGAAGTTGAATGCATTTGCTATTAAAATCACCTGGTGTCAATATTTTGACTCTGACTCGTCCTATCTTTTGCTTTGTTTCAGTAACTGCAAGAATCTATTAGTTTCGTGGTCTATAATTTAACCATGAATCGTCTTAAAAACGAACAACGCTTATAAATCATTGAATTTTATTATCACAATACGCGCTATGTTGAGAATGTTCATCGCGCGCTTCTTGTGTTCTGCGACACACGTTATTTTTTGGCTAAGAAAGCAGAAATGTCGATTTTGGAACGAAGATCAGCCAGAAGCATTGCAAAAACTACCAGTGCATCCAGAAAAAGTCAAAGTTCTGTGAGGTTTATGTGTTGGTGTCATTATTGTAAAGTACTTCTTCAAAGATTCTGCGAGAGCTACCGTGAGATGATATCCAACTTTTTTTTCCCCAAAATGCAAGACCTTGACTTGCGGGACATGTGGTTTGAACAAACAGGTGCCACATGCCAAACAGCACGCGTAACAATGAAATTGTTGAGAGGCGAACATTTTATTTCACGTTTGGGCCTGGTCAGACTATTTTTTGTGGGGCAAATAAAATGTCATATCTATACAGATGAGCCCGCTTCAATTCACGCATTAGAAGATAACACTGAAGCAATTATGTGTGAGATATCGGTCGAAATGTTGAAGAGTTAGCCGAAATAGAGTTCTATCATCAGGTGATTGAAAATCAGCTGTTTTGTGGCTGACGTCAATAGTTCCAACCGGTTCGATACTTAGTTTTTATCTTCTATTATTCAAATTTCGTTACAGTAATTTTGTGTAAAAAGTTTTGGACCTAAATCAAGTTATAGACCCTCTCCACGCAGTGGTATATGTTGTGACAAGTAAAAAACTGGACCTGCGAACACGTCGACCTGCACATATAATTTTCTGTCATAGGCTGTAGCATCCATTTCGAACATCCAAATTGCACTTCAAATACCAAATTCGAAATAATTCCGGTGAATAATGTGGTTAAAATCATCAAAATACCGAAAATGGGGAGGTCCATTTTCAATACCAAAAGTCCTGCAGACATAATATACATTTGAGTAAAATTTTTTCAACCTACTTAATTTCGTTCGGAAGCTAGAGTGATTTCCACAGACGGACGGATGTCGCTAAATTTGTGGTCTCCAAAATGTATATTTCGAGGTGTTATAAACGAAATAATATACTTAATATACCGTCCATACTATGGTGGAGGGCATAATAAGGCATCGAATAAATAATCCAAGTATAAGGAGCGAACAATCACCAGAAATACAATAGCGGACAAGAAATTCCATTTGCTGGCCAAATAAATAGTTTTGGATACAATTTAAAATAAAAGAAAATAAAAAAACGTTTTTGTTTTTATTTTTTTTTTGTTTAATTTTTTATTTTAAAGGCTTTTGTTCTTTATATAATTATTATTATTATTTAAAGAGAAAACGTAACATAAGAATTATAATAATAATAAGAAATCATAGTAGAATTTCAAAATTAATTATTATTTAAGTGATATAACACAAAAATTAAGAAAAAAATAATATAAAATAAAAAAATATAATATTTATTTGGAGAAAACACAAAATCCGAATAGATTAATGAAGATTTTATTGGTATATAGATATAAAATTTATTAAGTGGAGAAACAAAAAAATATATATATATTTATATAAGGGTGGGTGTATGGTGTAAGTACTTATATAAGATTTTAAATGTTAAATGTTAACTAATAAAAATAAAAAAACGAAACGGAGCTGAAACTAATTTTATAAACCAAAATTTTGAATGAAAATACAAACAAAAATAAACAATTATTATTTAATAACTATTTCAAATAATTTTAGTCGATTTTTTACATGAAAGAAAGGCGGCAACCACTAATTTGTTGGGTTATAGAAAATGACATTCTATTTGAAATAGGGGTACTATTAAATGTTTAGGAATACTAATGGCTACGTTTGGAGAAAAATATTTTCTGCACTCAATTTTGGGGATGGGAGGGGGACATGTCCGCCTATTTGGTTGCCTGTTTTTTCATTGGTGTAGGTGAACAACGCATGGAATTGGTATGTTTAAGCACACTTGGCAAATGGATTTTGAATTTTTTTTTTGATTTGTGAAAATCCCAAAAATATATATAAATGGACAAAATGGGTGGGGCGGATAAATACAAATATATTTAATTTCTTCAATTTTAATTACACGCCTATATAACTTAATATAAACTAGCATTGTAGTGTTAGGAAAGAGCAATCCAAGAGTTACTCTTTAAATATTGTTGCAGTGCTTAATAAACCTCCTTTTTAACAAAAAAATATATAACCCAAAGATTTAATCAGATTTTTTGCATGTAAAATAAAAGAAAATGTACCTGAAGCAAGAAGTAGGATACAAAATCTATTGTAGAAGACCGTGTAATTGAAGTTAGTTGAACCACTTAATTTAGGTATTACTATTCATGCCACCACTTCAGGAACATTTTATTTCCAGACAATGCAAACAGCTCTTTCTAAAAGAGTTTATTTTTAAATCTGTGAAGGGTGCTGGGTTTTCGTTATTTATTTAAAATAAAATTAACAACTTTAGTGTTTTCTTGTAGCTTATGCAAAATACTTTTTTCCCTTTTCTCATTACATGATTGTATCTCTTTTAATGTACATATAGAACAAAAAAAATGTATATAATTACAAATACATAAAAACATATTGTGGTTGTATTTGGTTTTGGTAAATTTAGACCGTTTTTTGTTTTTTATTTTATTAATAATAAAACTTTATTCTTTAATTTAATAGTATTAACATGTTGTAAATTAATGTACTTTTGCACTAACAAAGTTTGTTGATTTAGAAATGAAAGATTTAAAGAAAGTAAGAAAAAAAAAAGACATATATGGAAGGATTTTGCGGAAATTTTATGTTGTGGTGTATCATATTTAGAAAATTAAAAAAAAAATAGACGAAAACGAGACATGGCAAACAATTATAATTTGTAACTTATTTGAAAATTTCAACTAAAATTAAACTAATTTTTCCTTTTATTTTTTTGTTTTTAAACTTATTCTCATATTAGTTTCATTACTTTACATACTTAAGTCGTTTGTTTTTTTAATTTATTTGTATATTGTCTGTTATAGTTATTTTTAGGTGTTTTTTGTTTATGTCAAACTATGTTACTTTTTTAATTTAAATTGAAATTAGTTTATTTCTGTATTTTAACTACTTTGGCAGAAGAAGAGACAAAGAGACAACAAAGAAGTTGTTGTTGATAAGTCAACGGAAGAATAAACAAATAATGACTAATTTCCTTGGTGTTCGAAATAAAAAGAGAAATGTTTAAGGAAGTGTTTTTTGTTTGTTGTTGTTGTTCTTGTTATTTAGACTTTTGTGTGTATGTGTCTGTGTGTGTATGTAGATGATCTACAGAAACTTACTGATCCTGGGCATCTGTGTCATCATCCGCTACATTCTTGTTGCGTCTCTTCTCGTAAATCAAAATGATGGTACACAGTATCAACACTTCAGCACAGATACCCAAGAAAGGCCACAAAGCGGCAAATTTGCCTGGAAAACAAAAAAAAAAACAACAGCAGATAAATAAACAAGGACATAATTTGAAATCTTGAAGTTATCTTACCTTTTACACGTACAAAAGATGTATCACTAGCTTCTGGCACTTTAGCGTATTCGGTGGCTGCATTACGGCCAATACATTTGTATTCGCCTCTATCGTCCAAACTGACATTTTCAATGGTTAAAATAGCATTTTGAATTTTATTATCATCGGCTCTTAAAATATAACGACCTGTGCTATTGTTGATGGTTAAATTACCTAAAATAATAATAAAAGAAAAACGAAAATTAAAAAACAAATTACAACAAATGCATTACGATACGAATCGTTATATCCTCCACCTTGGAAAGGAGGGTATATTAACTTTGTCATTTCGTTTGTAACACCCCTAAATGTTCGTCGTAGACCCCATAAAGTATCTATATTCATAATCAGCATAAAATCCTAAGGCGATTTGCCGATGTCAGACTGTCTGTTGAAATCACGATTCAGCGCACATTATTTGACGTGGGGCTTCAAAGTTTGGCAGAACAATTTGTATTGTGTCTGGGATGGTTGATATTGAAAATGAGATATATCGGCCCACGTTTTAGTATAGTCCCCATATAACGGTACCTCTCTATATATGGCATTTTGATTTTTTTTTCATTTTTTTTAGCTCCACGTTTTCGTATAGCCTCCAGTACCTCTCGATATCCGGTATTTTAATAATTTTTTCCACATTTTCCCCACGAATTTGTCTAAAAATTGCTATTTAGAGGTCATAATGGGTTTTAGCTTCGGTGACGAAACATTGTAGGTATAGATCCACGTTTTCGTATAGCCCCCATATAACGATACCTCTCAATATTCGGTATTTTAATGATTTTTACCACATTTTCCCACGAATTTGTCTAAAAATTTGTGTTTGTAGTTATTTTTGGGTTCTCGCTCCGGTTGCAGAACATTGAACATCTAGGTCCATGTTTTCCTATAGCGCACATATAACGGTACCTACCGATATTCGGAATTTTGAGAATCCTAGCCACATTTACCAACTAAATTGTTTCAAATTTTAGAAGATTTTGTAGATGACAATCCTTGGAGTATAAAATTGTCTATATGGGTTCCGTTTTGGTATGACCCCCAAACCACGGCCTCCCTCACTTTGTGGTTTTTTGATAAGTTGAACTTCATTATCCAAGCCGTCTTACTGGTATATGAAGTTTAAAGTGGAACACGTTTAAATTCAGATACTTTTATATAAAAATGTTTCCTTTCCTTTGGGTAAGGTAGAGGGTATTAAAAGTTCGGCCCGGCCGAACTTAATGTTTTTTACTTGCTTTTTTTCTTTCAAATACTTACCAAAACTCCATGACAATTGTGGATCAGTACCAACAACAGTACATACAATTGACAATTTTTCACCCTCAACAACGCCAGAGTTTGAAGGCACTCTAACAGCAATTTTAGCTGGAAATTATAGAAACATTTAGTGGTTATTTTTGAAATCCATTACTCGTGACTCACAACACTTACCAACTACATTAAAATCTTTCTTTACATTATTGGCCACACATGAATAAAGGCCATCATCATGGACATCTGTTTTTTCAATCATGAACTTTCTTTCGGCCGCCAATATGCGATAACGACCTTCAAGTTCTTTTACTTTACTCACTTCTGTACCGTTTCTTTCCCTAAAAATGAAAAGATGAAAATTAAAAATTGCGATTGAGAAATATACATAAATATTAGCTTAGAAACATAGTAAGAAGGCTATTTGTAATTATACCATCACAAGGTGGTCAGGGTATTATGTCTTTGAGCATTTGTTTTTAACAGGCAAAAGGAAACGGGATAAGCCCATTGTTCTGATCTGATGATGTCCGTTATTTTTGTAAGCAAATTACAAATCATTGCCCCATCCAGATGAAATTTTGCACAAATAATTTGTTTGACCCAAAGACGAACCGTATTATTGAAATTGGAGATAATCGGTCAAAACTTAGATATATCTCCCATTATATCTTTGACCGATTTGCTTTTTATTGTGCACTAAACGTGTAATTTCAGCCCAAATAGTATGGAATTTTGCAAAAACGACCAAAATTAGGATTAAAAATAAGTATGTTAATTTTGATTGAAATCGGTTCAGATATAGCTATAGCTCCTATATATATTTATTATTTTTGTCCTCTGCAGCAGTAATATGCACTATGTTACAACGATGTTTGGGGAAATATATCAAATACAGCTCAGAAATACCTTTGCTAATTTTTATCGAGTTCGGTTCAGGTTTGAATGTAGCTCCCACACATATCTTCATCCGATTTGCCTTCTATTGTGCACCAAACGTGTAATATTAGCCCAAATGGGAAGGAACTTGAGTCTAAAAACAAGTATGTCAAATTTGGTGAAATTCGGTTCAGATATATATGGTTCATCCGATTTGATATTTTTGCTCTCCACAGCCGTAATATTCACCCCGTAACAACGATATTCGGGGAATTATATCAAATACAGCTCAGAAATACCTTTACTAAATGTTATCGAAATCGGTTCAGATTTGGATATAGCTCCCTATATAACTCTATCCGATTTCAAGTAAATTGTGCACCAAATGGGTAATACAAGCCCGAATTGAAAAAGCAGAAATGCCTCTTCAAAATTTAGAAGAAATCGATGCAGAGGAGGATATTCCTCTCATATATTAGTTCCTTTGGACTTGAAATTATAATTGTATAATCAAACATATATTTTTACGATGAAAATAGGGTTCGTATGATCGAAAAAGTACGTATGTACCATGGTAGAAAAATACATGTAGACGCATCGACACAGCTGCTGGGACAATGAACTTTCAAACCAATTTTTATAATTGAAAATTTTGAATGAAAATCTTTTCAAATTTGTAAAAAATGTTGTCGTATCGTTAAGATCGACTTATTTTTGAAAAAATATTTTAAAATTTTTGACATATTAATGTTCCCAAGCGTTTATGCATCTACCATGATATATATGCAATACTTGTAAAGAGAAAAGCATGGTAGGATTTAGAAAGTAAAGTCGCATCTTAACAATTGTTAAAAAAAAATTTTGACAACCTTTCATTGTCAAAATGTCTATTTAAGTATACATTGTATAAATACAAATCAGAGATGGGACCCAGTTTTCAATACAGTGACATTTGACAAGATAAATTGCAGATTTGGATATGCTTATTTGAATTTTATTTTTAAGATAAAAATATGGTTCGCTGTGACCGAAGAAGTAAGTATGTACCAAGAAAGAAGAATGCCGGTAGATGCATCAATGCTTGATAACATTGATATGTTAAAAATTTTAAAATGTATTTTTCAAATATTAGTATATTTTTATATGTTTTCTTATGCGACGTCAATCGAATTTACAAATTTCGATAATTTTTCATTCAAAATTGGTTTGACAGTTCATTGTCCCAGCAGCTGTGTCAATACGTCCATCCGTATTATTCTACCATAGTATGTACCATGGGCTATCTATTAGGTCATCCAATAAGACCTGCTGGTTTCTCCCGTATTGTCAAAATGCAATTGTGAATTGTAAGAAAACGTAAATACAAAATTTTGACAGAATGAGGATTTTTAACCACAATGGTGACTTTTCATTCTGCTTACACAACCTGTTTAATGGGCCTTAGTATGTATGCTACTCATGTATTTCACAACTGAAATGTCGTCACACATATAATATACATATGAAAAAGACATTTCGTCTGCTAGAGCCTTTACATATGACTAATTGAACATTTTCAAGTAATACTCACCATGTTAATTCGTAATTTCCTTCCCCTCTAATTTCACAACTTAATACTAATGGAGCACGTATATCATAAACTTTTAACTGTTGTTCGACATTATCGTAGTTTGGCACCAAAAATTCTTGCTCTGCAAAATTTCAAAAGATAAAATAAGAATAAAGTTTTAGTTTTATACGATATAACAAAGGAGATAATAATCAAAAAATATAAAAATTTTAGCAAGAAAGTTTAAAGGGGAAAATGACAATTAAACTAAGCTCTACTTATATTTACACTTAAATGAATGATCACAATAAAGAAAAATAGAAAGAAATATAATCATACGCATAGGTAGTTGAACTCACATAAAAATAATAATAAAGATAGAAATAAGCTTAAACTATTCATGAATAATGTAACATACACTAGAGAAATTCATGATCGATGATGAAGAGAAACGAACGTAATGGATAATAAATAAAATATCTAGAAAAAACTAGCTTTAACTTAACCTACAAAGGTAATAGTTGGAGAAGATACATTTTGTTTTATAAAGCAATTGTTTTAAAAATTGTATACATATATAATTAACACAAATTTATAAAAACAATAAAGCATGAGATCTGAAATCATGTCTATATTAATGTCATATAAATGTCTGGTATTAAAATAGTACATTTTTCATTATTTATTTAATGTTTAGTAGTTGGCCAAAGAAATTTGCCACACGTCGTTGCTTGAGGTTTAACTTTTGATAGTTAACATCGATAACAAGTTCGATTTCAATTGCGAGTTAATTACACCATGTTCATTAATGAAATTATTAAAAAAAGAATTCTAAACTTAAAATTAGCCTTAAATATGGAAGAAACTGGTAAAATAGAAAAAAAAAAAAAACTAATAAATATTTATTTGGTGTAGAAAAATGATATCACAACCTGTATTAAGGGATAGGTTTCTTTGTGTTGTGTATGTCTAATGATAAAATTCTAAATTCCAAAAGAGGAGTATTCGCGTGGTTTGGTGGAGTATACAAAGGAATGGATTAAAGAGAAGCAGCTGGGGGAAATGATTCTTTTGAATGTGTCTTCCATACGAATTAGTTTACCACCAATTACTTATGAGATTGTAGGTTTGTGTATACAATTGAACATATTTCTCCCCCGCCCCACTCTCGTCTCTCTTTTCATTCCATTCCACCATTGTATCACACGTTCATGATATATTCAAAACATTTTTGGTTGCCAAATACTCGTGTATTCTGTACATATCATGAGTATTGTATGTGTATGATTGTACCGTGTGAGAGGTTGGTTTTAGCTATACAAATTATTATATATATGTATGTATATAAACAAGCATATATATTAGTTTTGTTTGATGATTAATATTTATTATGTCAAACCAGAAAATTAAAAAAAAAACTAACAAAAAATTACGTTGACAATTATGATGACAGTGATATGACTGTGGCTCTTGGGCGTCGTCGTCGTTGTTAAAATGGCATCAAGTCGACAATGAAGATGGCTTTGATGGCTTTTTGTAAAAGTGTATTCAAATATAATTTAGAAATAAAGATAAAATGCAACAATTTCAGATTAAAAACGTAATCGGAAAAAGAAGCAGTTATTTTCGGTTGGTTCAAATGTATCTTATTCAACTTGGAGTGAAATTACTAAGTTAAAAAAAATAGGCAATTAAATTTTTCGAGTTTATATTGGCTTTGTTGTAAATAATAACATGATTAAAAATAAATTAAAAAAATAAATTAATACTCTGCAATAAGAAAACATATGAAATCTGTGTTAAATACCAAACTGAGATATTATGTATAAATATATGAAACATTGATTGAATATTTCGAATATAAATATGATACGAATTTTTAATGAATCTTCAAAAACTTTATAAAGAGTCGGAGTTTTTGTGCTCCAACGACTGTGTAGTAACTAGACTTTACAAAATCCACACTGCCGAATTCCGTCGTCAGACCAAATAAGGGACACTAAATAAGCTCATGCGATATTTCAACTATCTTATAGGTGATGAAGTAAAGGTGAGGGTACATAAGCAGCTTGGAATCATGGCTTGACATATTAATGTTAAAATAACATTTAAAACGACGGCAAGATTCGAGTGCGGCATCCCTTTATGATATTTCACAAAATATGCCATGCGAAGACTTCAAGCTGCTTATGTACTCACACCTTAAAGTTGGGAATACATAAAGCGCTTATTTGGCTGACTTAAGTCATCGGCTGGCTTCTTCGTAGATGAACAAAGAAAGTTTAGGTTGACTTAGTTCGATTATGGTATGCTTTGCTGCATTGCAATACAGATAGTCTGTTCCAGAAGTGCAAGAATGTAAAACTGTTTGCTACAATAACGGATTTCTCTTTTATGATATTGAAAAAAAATTCTCGCAGGTTCTGAAATAGAGAGAGAAGTACACATTCATAGCAGCATGATAAATATCGAATTCAAATTAACGTATCAACGTTTGGGTACATTGATATGTCAAAAACATTTGAAATGTTTTTTTTTTTTTTTCAAAAATAAGTTGATTTTTATATGTTCTCCTATACGGCGCCAATCGAAGATTGTTATGATATGCATTTTTTTCCGAAATTGGTTTGACAGTTCATTGCCCCAGCAGCTGTGTCGATGCGACTACCTGTGTTCTTCTACCATGACTATAAAGTACTCCAAACAATGTTTAAACATAATATTAATACTATACAATACTGTTTATTATATTGTAATGTACACGATAGAAGTTATATTGTAATGTACACGATAGAAGTTTTTTATACATTTCATATATTCCACAACTGAAATGGCGACACGATATGTGTAACTTCTACATATGGAAATGTAAACATGTAAAAAACGTTCCGTCTGATAGAGCCTTTAACATTGCTATTTATGTTGTTACGATATCGTACCAAGAGGGGGAAATTTTACCTTGTGTCAATGTTTAGACTCTGTTTGTCCTATCTGCGAACTTGTCAAAATTAAGGGAAGATTCGGACGAGAATCTACTACAAATTACTAGGTAAATTTGGCCGTGTAAAAAATAATTGCATGGTTGCCAGCTTGTGATCGGTTGATTTTGAAGGAATGCCATCTAGATTTGGCAGTTGTACTAGTTTTGCGCTGCTGTACAAGTTTTACCGTTAAAAAAAGTATGTGTTAAAAATACATTTAGATTTACGAAATCTGCTCGATCTCAAATGTAAATTCCGTGGCGTATACGTCAAATAATATCTACTGGATTTATGAATGTTATTTACGCGACGTATACGCCATACAATTGAAATGTGAAATCGAGTGGATTAGTAGTCTAAACGTGCTCTAAAAGTGTCGATGTCAAAAGTTAATTCTATAGCGTATAGCGTCAAATAATATGCACTGGATTCGTATTCATGACGATGCGCTTTAGAATTTACATTTGAAATCGAGTGTATTCAGTAGTCTAAACATACTCTAAATGTAGGTTTACTTAGTTCGATTTTGGTCCTTCGCTCCTTTGTTCTTTTCCGAAGAAGCCAGCCGATGACTTAAGCCATTCAGAAAAGCGTTTTATGTATTCTCACCTTTACGCACGGTTTATGTACTAGGGCCTGCCGTATAATAGAAAACAAAAGACCAATTTTATACTTCGCGATTCTTATCTTCTGAGAAAAAGACGACTTTTCAATCTTTCTGTGACAATTTAATTTCTGTAAAACAGAAGATAAAATCGATTGTTGGTCTTTTTGATGGGCATAATAGCAACGTAACATTAGTAATATTAGAAACTCAACCAAAAATCTATGGTCTCAAAATCGAATATAACAAGCCGATTTTGCGTCGTTAGATCAAAAGTCGATTTACATATTCCTATCTCGTGGCCGAACTAAACCAGGAAAAGTTAAGAGCAAAAATGAGGTTCCATACCGCTCTTTAAAAATAATAAGTAGACAAATTTGGCCAAGTTTAAAAAAAGTTTCATAATTACAAGCATCTGATTTGCTGAAGGATTGCCATCTAATTTGATTTTTTCCGATCTCCCTTAGTGTGAACTTCCTATTACGATTTTTTTTTGTAGTTCCACTACAAATAAGTAGAGGAACACAGCATCTTTGTCCTAAATTACGCGTTTAACGACAAAAATCGACTTTTCGACTTTTCAACGAAAAAAAGTCGTTAGATCGAAAGTCGATTTACATATCCCTATCTTGTGGCCGTAAAACATGTAAAAATACACTAGGCCATGTTAACAGCAAAAAATGACGATTTTGGCCAAATGACAAATTTGGCCAAGTAAAAAGCTTCTGATTTGCTGCCACCTATTTTGATAGTTTTACTTATTTTCCGATCTCCCAATTTTTGGATCAAGAAGGTCCCACTGAGTGAACTTCACATTCGATTTTTTCCAATTTCGCTATAAAAAAGTACGGAACACAGCATCTTTGTCCTAAACTACGCGTTTAACGACATACGTCATTTATTAGGCGTATAATTAAAGGAATTGACAATCTAAATAACGTGTTTTGTTCAAACTGGTTTTATGTGAATATAAACTAAAATTTAATATAATTTAATTTCTTTCATAAACAATTCGCCATTTGTTATTTAGACCTTTTAAAAAGAAAAAATAAGAAACAGTAACAAATGTTATATCCCAATTACTTTTATATTAAAAAAATACTTTCAAGTAAAATTTATCTGGGTTTACAATTTTTCACAGTTTGGTATTTCATTCCATATTTATATAAATAAATAAGTGTAAAAGTTGAAAAGACTCAAAGCGTTTTCTTATTAAAAAAAGGATGTAAAATATGTCTGGTAAGAATTTATTAAGAGAAAATGTATGTAAGAATTAACAAATTATTAAAATTAAACAAAAAACGGTAAAACAAAAACAAAGAATAAAAGGAAACAAAAAACATCAAGTTATTCGTTAAAACAATGCAGAGAAAGATAGTGGGATCTTCATAAAATTGGTACAACAAAAAGAAAAACATTTTTGAGAGAGAGAGAGAGTGAGACTTAGAGAGAGAAAGAGCAATATAATTAAAGAAAAATATACAGCAAATATAAAACAATTATTAAGAATAATAATACATTGATAAATGAGAGATTTTTTGTATTTTGTATTTTTTTTTTTCGTTTATTTTAATCATAAAAAAGTCGTTAAAACGAACATTTAACGAACAATAACGAACGAACAAACATATTAGCAACTAGCAGCACACACACACAGCATGAAAGATGATTGCATGATAAATTCAATGATGAATGACGATTGGACTGACTGATTGATGGTGGATACTATGTATACATACTAGTGAGCGAGAAGAGAGCAAAAGAAGATAATTAAACCAGAAATCCATAGAAAAATAATAAAACAACAACAATAGTATTTAACATATGGATGACAATGCGTGACGTTTGGCAGGGTTGTATTTTCGTTTTTTTTTTTTTTTGTTTTGTTTTGTCAAAGGGAATAACAAACTATGACGAGATGACTAGAAAGAGCAAAGAACGATATTTCATAGCTATTTGCTAAAATTAGCTATTATTATTATTGTTTTTAAAAAATGCACAACATACGTAACAGATGCGTATGATGAGTTGTTGGTAGTGGTGGTGGTGGTGGAAAACCAAAAAAAAACATGTAGTTTCAAATTTAGGAGGAACACTTTGGAATCGAATGAAAAAATCAAATAATTTGATAAAAATGATGATTTGATTTTTTTGTTTGGGATTTGTATTTGTTTTTTAGCAATAAAAGCCAAAGTTATGAATCTCACCCATATTGACTGGAGGAGGAGGATAGATAAGTGAAATATTGCTGGGAGCCATTGTTTGAGTTACCACGCCTGGTAAAATCAGTACAGGTTGTTGTAGTTGCTGCTGTTGCTGACGTTGACCGCCAGCCGCTGCTGCTGCGGTTACTGCTCCTGGTGCAAAAATAGGTGCCGATGTGGCAGCAGCTGCCCCAGCAACACTTCTATCCACCGGCATTGGCATATACTGTTGATTTGGTGGCATTTGAGGATAATGTTGAAATGGATGCGGATAATAGGTAATTGGTGGATGTTGAATCTGTTGTTGGCCGCCAGCGCCACCACCGCCCGCTGGCATACTCATGACACCCGGTGCATGTGAGGGAAACGTCACCATTGGATTATAGAATTGATGTGGATGCGGGTAGTAATAATTCGGAGGAATATGATATTGTGGCGGTGCCTGGGGTATTCCTCCAGCTGGCGAACCTGGTGCAATGTGATAACCATCATGGGTTTTGTGTTGATATCCCGGCATATAATAGGGTGGATAGTAGGGAAATAGGCCGGGCATTGGCGGTGGTGGTGGAGCTGCTGTAACGGGAGCGGGTGTGGTACGCGGTGGCGGGAAGCTAGGTGGTGTAGCAGCATAATAAATGCCTGTAGGTCTCCACGATTCGGTTGTATGGTGTGGCGGTGTGGGTGGCGGATTCAACTCATATGTTTTTGTCTTGTTGTGATAGCGTGTGTCCATCGATGCCACGGGGCTACCATCAAAATTTGTTGTATTTATCAGAAATAACTTGTGCTTCAAATCATGTTCCATCTGTTGGATATGTGGCAAATGACCATCGTGATCATGCTCATGCGGATGATGGTGACTGTGATGGTGCTGCTGCTGCTGTTGTCCACTGGTTGTCGTTGTAATTGGTTTTTTCGTTGGCAGTGCTAGAATTTGTGGCGGTGTTTCTGGTTCGGTTGGCTCCCAGGTGCGTGTAAATAAGTCATCTTCATTCGATTGACTTGGCGTTAGATCGTGTATTGTTACATAACCCGATTCTGTGGGAAAATATCGCTGATACTCCTCGTTCCGATTGCGACTACCACCCATGTGATGTTGTTGTATTAGAAATGGTGATAACGTTTCGGGTTTATCCGGTTCTGGATTGCGTACTTGCAGCATGTGATAGCTGGCGTGTAAATGGTTGCACTGATATTTGCCCTCGTGTACCTTAAGGGCATGACGAACTGTGATGTGAGCTTCAATTTTGTGCTTTTCACCTGAGAGTTGTTCATGGCGCAAGACGCAAATCGAAAAAAAGTTTGTGTGAAAAATAAGAGATATGTTGAATTACATTTTATTTATCCCTACTTTACGAAACAATCCTTCTGATTATAATTTGTTATCAAAAAAAAAAAAAAAAAGAAAAGATGGTCATAGGAAACTGCTAAGGAAAGTAATGACTACAAGTACTGCAAGTATTTGAGACGCTTTTAAATATTTTATTATTATTAGATCAAAGGAAATTCATAGAAACTATAGAATATTAATAATACTAATCACTTTTATCTATTCAATTATAATTAACATTTATATGTAGCCATGACTGTTGTAAGATTCTTAAACGCAAACGCAAAACGCGTCATAAATCGTATTTAGGTGATACACCCCGTGTTCACTTTATCAATAACTGAAGCACACGAGTCACCCAGTACCCAAGTCAATCATAATAAAAGGAAATAAATTCAACTATTATTTGCCTTTATGAGGATTTATTTGAAGTTTATGCAATGCAATGGACAACTGGGGTTATTAAATGCAGTAATAACAAATATCTGGATTATAATTCTTTTTAGAAAAAAAAAATGGAATTTAATAAATCCATTTCGAATTTTCTATAATATTAGTTGTATGTATAATGTATCAATACATTTTTCAACCTTGTTAGCCCTGCTAATTAAATGTCAAATTTACAATATGCACATTTCCGCTCGGCCAAATTCATGTAGCTAAAACAAGCAGAAATGTGCACCACTCAGCGCCATTTTTTTCTCGAGAGAGCTGCAAGTTTTGCTAGTTTTTGGAGTACGGGAACGCGTTGTAGCAGAATTAGTGCTAATTAGTACTAATTTGCAGGTTCTGGAACACAACTATTGTTTACCAAAGATATAGAAGTATAAAGATGGGACAAGACAGAGTCAAGATGTGGTAACCCTGTGAAAATACCTCTGTTGTTATGATATCGTAACAACATAGTTAGCAATGTTAAGCGATTTAAACCGCTTAGGCAATATGCAATTAATTGGGAAAGTCTATGGAATAGAATTTTGAAACCAAATTTTTGGAGTTTTCAAAGTTTTGTTTGTCATTTTTTTCTATAAATGTGTTTTTTTTTTATATTAACATGGTCCTGTCTTAAGCTGTAATTTAGACAATATAGACACAAACCATTTGCTCAGAATGCATTTTGTCCAGTCTTTACCATTTTAGGTCTTTGTGCCTACGTTCTATAGAAAGCCTGCTATCAGACCCAAACTATTTTTGTTATTAACAATCTAAAATAGGACGTGGGAAAAATTAGAGAATATTTGCGATATTAATCCCGTTAAAATATCCCCCGTATTTATTGAAATGTTTGGTGAATAGTTATGTTACAGCCATGACTTCAATTCAAGGGTAGCATTTGCTCTAAATCATAATCACCCTGTTTATCTATAACTGCAGTAAGCGAGTCACCCAGTAAACAATTCAATTTATGATAGAAGAATATAGGTAGACGCATCGACACAGTTGCGAGGACAATGAACTGTCTAACCAATTTGGGAATTGAAAATGTTACATGAAAAATTATTTAAATTTGTAAAATAAAAAAGTCTACTTATATTTGAAAAAAAAAAAAAATTAAAATTTTTTGACACTACAATGTTCCCAAACGTTGACGCATCTACCTGAATTCTTCTACCATGATTCACGATATCGAATGGCCCTCATATAACAGTGCCACCGATATTCGGTATTTTAATATTTTTAACCACATTTTTCAATGGAATTGTGTGAAATTCTACACAAGGAGTTCCTTCCAAGTACTTTACCCCCTGAAATTGTCTATATTGGTCCACGATATCGAATGGCCCCCATTAACGGTACCTCCCGATATTCGGTATTTTGATGATTTTAACCAAAATTTTTCATTGCAACTGTCTGAAATTCTATACAAGGAGTTCTTTTTGGGTACTTTATTCCTTGGAATATGGGTCCACGATATCGTATAGCTCCCATACAGTGGTGCCCCCGATATTCGGTATTTTGATGATTTTATCTACATTTTTCATTGGCATTGTCTGAAATTCTACACAAGGAGCTCTCTCTGAATACTTTATGCCATGGAAGATATTCGTTATTTCCAGGATTTTCGCGTCATTATTTGCCGGTATTGCGTCAAATTTCGTATATGAAGTTCGTAATGGGTACTACAACCTATGACGGAAAATTATCTATGCAGGTCCACATCTAGTGTAGCCCCCATACAACGGAACGTCCCCTTTATTCGATATTTTGATGATATTAGCGACATTTCACCGGAATTGTTTCGAATCTCGTATTTAAAGTTCGGAATGGTTACTACAGCCCCCAATATAAAGGTTTTTATTTGAGCGGTATTTTTCGACGGAATTTTGTTTTGAAAATTTTCAAGTTCCTTCCGAATGGTGGAGGGTATAAAAAGTTCGGCCCGGTCGAACTTAGCTGCTTTTCTACTTGTTTTCTTTTGAATTGTGAAATATTCAAAAAAAAACAAGTAAAAATGGAAATTTTAAAAGTCGCGTTTATCTAACAAACAAGATAAAGTGAAGCACTTCTTGTATTCCGACTAATAATAAGTTTAGATATACGAAATCTACTCAATTTAAAATGTCAAGTCCATAGTGTATGATTTAAATATAATATCCACTGGATTTATGAATACGATTTACGTAACGTATAACGTATAACGACATTTTTATCGAGTAGATTTAGTAGTCTAAACGTGCTATTAAGAGAGAACCAATTGAAACTCATAATCAAATATTAATATTTTTACAGGTAGCGACATATCAAATCGCAATCCAAAGAAAATTGTTTAAGGAGGTGCCTTGGATCGTTTTAAACCTACCTATATGAAACAGTGTCGATTTTTTTTGTCTTTTTACCCGAAAGTTTCCGTTTTTCTGTCAATATGAAGTATATAAATATATATACTGCAGTATGCTTATAAAACCTGGCGACATATCAAATCCTGCAAAACCTTGATTTTCCTATTGACCACCAATGAACAAAAAAAAAACTTTACTTTAAACTATATGTCAAATAGCTCAAAAATGTGTTGGAGTTTTCTAAAATTGTAACGCTTTTATTCTCCGCGGGATTTTGTGTTGACAAAACTCACCCTCAATAGCACTTTCGCTTAAGACATATGAATGTTCATCATGACCGTGTCGTAAATTGTGTACTTTAATGGCTTCGCCATCCTTTAACCAGTTTATTGGATCTGTTATGGGTATAATGCATGTAATTGAAAAACGTTCACCCACATTAACCGTTGAATCACCGTAGTAAATCGCTGTTTCATATTCAAATTCTGTTGAATCTTCGACATCATTTACTGTATTTTGTGTAATATATCATAGACATTGACGGACGGCCGGTCGGGTCGGCCAGTCAGCCAAGGAGTATCGTTGCCATGGTAAATGTGTGTGGTGGCATGCAGGAAAAAAATGTTGTATTTTGTTTTTTTTTTTTTTTTTTTTTTTTGTGAGCACGGGTCAGCACCATCCATCCGCCGCCACGAAAGTAACGCGCGCACACACACACATGTAAAACATTTTTATTATTTTTTGCCATTTGTTTAACACGAATTGCGTGTTTGTGTTGTTTTTATTCCACATCACAGATCATCATCACCATTGAATTTCATATTGAAGTTAGAGGTCATTTATTTGGTGTTGCATGGTGTTCGATTTTCGATTTTATTACACCCCATTGGGTTGACGTATCAAATTGATTTGAAATTCAAGTTGTTATTATGTATTAAACGGTATTATGTCGAAGTCACCAACAATGTGTGTGTGTGATCGAACGTAGTTGGAGTTTGATGTTAGTAGCAGAATAGTAGTAGTAGTAATAGACAGAAATGGCAGAGTTTTGCATGTTTTAAGATTCATATATAGATTATGTACAAAATATATATGTATATATATATATATATTTTTTATTTATTTAATTGATTCAGTCAGTTCGTACTGTCTTTTTATTTTGTATTACTAAGTCTTATATTTCGTTTTTTTTTTTTTTTTTTTTTTTGTAATTTTGTGGCTTTTTAGAAATCAAGTCGAGAATTTATTGAAAGTTTGGAAGGGAATAGTTAAGAGGTCGTATTATACTAAAAAGACAAGCCCAAATTCAATTCTTAATTAATTATACTCATTTTTTCTCGTAATCATACAATGTGAGCCCATTGTTTCATATTGTATTGTGTGAACCACCTTAAACAACTTAGTAGCACTCATGGGTAATCGAGTCATCCCAACAGCGTTTGGTTCATATTGTATGTTGTGAACCACCCTAAACAACTTGGCAGCACTCTTGAGTTATCGAGTCATCCTAACAGCGTTTGCTAATGAAAATGTTTCTTTATCTCTAATTTTCATAAAATGGACGTTGTGCTCAAGAGTGAGATGTGAGAGTAATTTTGACAATTGCGTACCAAGTGATTATAAAGCGAATATTACTGGAGAAAAAATCTATAGCAAAACTGTGCACGTTGGATTTGTTGCTGTTTCAATCAACTGTTTTATGGTTGGCTTTTATGCTGATGGCAACTCTTCTAGAGTTTTCTAAATCTACTTTTCTTTTTACTTTTTTTTTTATTTTTGTAAAAAACCAGTATGGAAAGTTCAAAAGTCGGGCAGGGCCGACTATATGATACCCCACAGCACTATGCGTATTTAGTGGAGCTCCCGCAAAAAGACTTTATATTGGGAATTTATGTGAAGTAGATTATTCAAACATGAACCAAATAACTCCGACAAGAATTAATATTTGTTGGAGTAATAGATATACCGGACCGAGTTTCACAAAATGGTAAAATTCGATTGAATATGAAAAAATGTATTCAATTTGGGCTGATTTTTCATATATGGTGAGCAATAACCGTAAAATCGGATGAAGATGAAAATCGAAGCTATATAAAAATCTAAGCCGATCTCGATAAAATTTACTAGTGGTTTTTTTCGATCAATATCTGATGCCCGGTATCAAATATCATTAGTGAGGAGTGCATATTACGCATGTGAGGGACAAATCGGATAAAAAATATATATGGGAGCTATAGCTATATCTGAACCGATTTTCACAAAATTTGAAATACTGGTTCCTAGGATAAATTCGGACAGAATTGCCAAAAATTCAGTTCATTTGGGCTAATATTCATTTCATGTTCATTTGGTGCACAATTAACCCGAAATCGGTTAAAGATTTATATGGGAGCAATATCCAAATCTGAACCGATCTTGACAAAATTTGATACACTTTTTTCAAAGCTGTATCTGATATCTTGTACCAAAGATCATTGTTGTGGAGTGCATATTACGCATGTGAGAAACTTAAAACCCCAAATCGGATAAAACATATATGTGGGAGCTATAGCTATATCTGAAACGATTTACACCAAATTTGATGTACCTACTTCTAGACTGAATTCGGTCGGTTGTGTCAAAATACAGGACATTTAGACTGATATTAGCCATTTGATGCACAATTAACCCGAAATCGGTTTGCAAAATTTCATCTCAATCGGATAATAAATGCGACCTGAATTTTTTTTCACAAAAATACGTGAACGGATGGACGGACTGACATGCATAAATCGACTCAGAAAGTGATTCTATGAAGATCCTCAAAAGGAACTATGGGTCTATCTCGCTTCCTTATCCATGTAACAAACAAATGCACAAAGACATTATAACCTTAGCGCCATGTGGTGTAGGGAATAACAAGAAACATCATTCTTACTCACCCAAAATAACTTTTATAATGTGGAGAATTTTTTTTTGAGGTCGGCTATTCCTCTGAGTTTAATAACCAAAATGAAAGAAAAGTAAATCTTTCTCGAAAAACAAACAGTCACATCTTATACACACAAGCAAAGCAGGTGAGACCTAGTGAAATATGCGTACAGTGTGAATACACACTGCGTACAGTGTGAATACCCCTAAAATGCATAACGTTAGTTTACATTGACGTTCACTATAAATACGAAAAGCATTTTACTTTGTTTTCACTTAAAATGTACACTTCTTTGTAAAACTATTTTAACTGGGTGTGCCTTTATTTATCTACACTGTTGGATTCCCTTTCCAAACTTCAATAAAATACAGAAGAAAACTTGATTTCTAATAAAAATAAAACAAATAGTTTTGTGTGTTCATTACAAATACACATTTATACGTTTTAAAAATAAAAAGTACATAGTATTATTATTGCCACATTTATAGGTAAAAACAAAACAAAAACAAATAGGAAATGAACGAAATTGAAAATCACAAATAATTACAGTGAAACAAAAAAAAAATCAAAATATTGAAACAAAACATAAAAGGAAAGATTGCAAAATACCACAAAACAAAGAAACAAACGAACTTAATAACACAACAACATAAAATTACATTTTTTTGCTATTATCTTACATTGAAAATATGAATAAAACCAAACGAACAGAAAACAAATTTAGTTTATAATGTAAGTGTTTGTGTATATATTATGTTTTGAAATTGAAATCAAAAAACAATAAACAATATGGGTTTCGGCATACAATTTTAATAAGTTTTTGGTTTATGGGAATTTGAAAAATATCCAAAAGTGTACGTTTTTGTACTTCTTTTTCATTTTGGTAAATAATTTCAGATCAAGTTGTTCATATTGGGAATTTCATTTTCAGCTCCAAGTTGAATGTAATTGAAAATTAAGATAATTTATTAGCAGATAACTAATGAACATAAAAGAAATAGAAAAACAGAAATATAAATCTAAGAATAAATTATAATTAAATTAATTAAAATGAAATAAGAGTTTTGAAATAAATTAAAACGTATTTCACATCATTTCATAATATATCAACACTGCATGGCAACATTTGTAGAAATGGTATTGGTAGTTATTTGTAAAAGGACAAAAAACGTTATTTACGGAATTGTTCTTGTTATTTTACTTTAATTTTAAGGTTTCCATTAAATGACAAATGAAACATAATGCCTGTAAAAGTACGTTTACATACAAAATCCCTACCCAGATTAACCCTCATAGTTGACCAATCACAATAATTTTGAATTTATTGCGATTGGCCGATTATAAGAGTAAACCCTGGAAGCGATTTTGTATGTAAACGTACTTCAAGTTTAAGTTAACCTTAACAAACTTAAAGTACATTTACATACAAAATCCCTACTCGAAATCCTCTTTAATAAGTCTAAACGTAGTTTTTGGGGGATATAAATACCGCTCAGCTGATGTTTGTTTACGTATACATACACAACCAAAAGTGAATTCAAAAAATTGATATATCAAAAAGGCTAATATAGAGACAAATGTAGACCTATTCTGTAATTTTTTTAACAACAATGAGTAAGTTTACTGTACAAAATAATCATTTGTTTGTTTTGTTTTTGTGTTACAATAACAAAAGAAAATTTGACGACAATTTGATGTTTTTTGTTATTGTTTGAATACATAAACACGCAATGGTGTATTCCTTTAGTATGTAGATTCCGCACCGGATTTAAAATTAATCCTGTCACTAGAAGATTCATTTTTGGATGTTTAATATCATTTCACTAGCCCGCCATATACGTCTCGCTTAAAAAAAAAAAAAACAATAAAAATAAAAATACAGAACATGCCGTTAATAATGGTATTACAGAAATGTATTGCCTAATAACCACAAATTTTCATAAACACAATAAGGACTAGGGCACTGAAATAAAGCTTATTTCACTGTGCGTTCCATCTAGTTCAGCTATTTTTAACTGAACTAGTTCCAGTTCATAATTAATCAATTTAGTTCAATTGCTCAGATTTAAATCGTTTCCGAGCCTGAACTAGTTCGTGAATCCAGTTCACAGTTAACTATTTAGTTCAATCAACGAGTTTATGCACACATATGTAAACACACCATAAAGAACAAAAGAAGTATGATACATTATAATTGTATCATACCATCAATAACAAAAAAAATGAAAACAGATTTCAATACCTGCGGTATGACTTAGCACAGGAGACGGTGTAATTTTATATGTAAATGATTTACTGAACTAGTTCAATTACTAATTTTAGTATAACGATCTAGTTCACGCGAATTTTTCAATCGAACTAGTCTACCCGAACTATTGTCGTAGACAAGGACAAAGGCCGATAGATAAAAAAATGATGCTGTCAGACACATAAATCGTTTTTCATTATTACAAGTTTCATTTAATTATGGACTGTCCGACAAGGAAAAAGGCCAGAACATCTTCCCTTTATATTTAACGTAAAATTTACTGAATTTATATTGCTATATTTTATATTGGTATGACAATAACACGAAATTAATTACACATTAATTTTTTATTATTTTTAAACTAAAATGAAGATGCCATTGTCAAAAAATGCAGTGTCTGCCAGTTACTTTTTACAAATAGCTTGTCATATCTATGAAAAAATTATTTTATTTTAAAGGAAAGATGTAATAATGAAAATCCGATCATGTGAACATTATCATTTACTTTTTCGGAAGTAAGGTATAACAAATCCGGACCATAAAGAAGAAATATAAAAACGTGTCATAGAAGTATAAAAATGGGACAACAAAGAGTCAAAATATTGTCACCAGGGGGATTTACCTCTAGTTACGACTTGGTTAGTTCCGAACGATCTAGTTCCAATGGACTGTTCTGCGAAACGAACGAATGGAACTAGATCCAGCTCCTTAGTTCATTCCCTCAATTTTATTATCATATTTTAAATTCTTGTATTTTCTGATGCCGCACATGGAATGCCATCGGGTATTTTTGAATTTTGTCATTAAAAATAACAAATACGATTCAAATAATGATTCTAATGAACTGTATTCGGAACTATTTGCAAAGAAGGAACTATAATTAGGATCTAGTTCCTTATGAGAAAAGGAACGAAAAAATCAAT